AGCGTTGCATTCCCTCAGTGATTCACATGGTCAGAAGCTCACATGATATGCCTTGCTGAAACTAAGAATGTCCCTGGACCAGAACCTTGATCTTGCCCTGATCGGGTACCAGGAACTAATCGCCATCGCTGAACGCAAGTCCCTGGACTCCCCTTCGAGCCTCGCCCGGCTAGAGCTGGTGCAGGCACTGCGGAAGCACGGCGTTGGAGGGAAGCCCGTCACTGACACCGGTACGTCGTGGATTAATGACTCTAAGCTAGATAGCCTTGCTAACACTATCCAGGCCTTGGCGGGGGAGATTGCCTCCATGAGGGAGGACAGGGATAGCATAATTTTGTCCTTGAAGCTGGAAATTTCGGAGCTGAAGGGGGAAGTGCAACAGCTTCACCAGCAGCAGTACAATGGTTCATCCAAGCCCGTACACTGCGACACTCCAGACATGCAATCCCGTTGTACTCGTACAGTGAGTACGAATAGCACACAGCCAGAAGAGGATGCACGCACTCTACACAGCAGGTCAACTAGCACTAGCAGGGCCACCGTACCTAGCTAACACCAACCACATGGAACGCAGGAACATACCCGTACACACTGGTAGAAATGCAACAACTGGGGGCGCACTTACAACAGCAGGCGCCGGTGGTGCACCAGTACAGCCCACGTGTACTCAGGGTGCTGCTGGGAGCACAGAAGGCGATCCCCATCAGAGCAACTGGCAAGAACAGCGGCGAAGGAGCAATAAATCAGCGGCCCACAGCGATCCCATTGCCCGGGCAACAAAATCCAAAGTTGTGTCTGTCTACAGAAAAATGGCCACAGAAAACCCCAACCCCAACACACTCACTGGCACACATCTTCCCAAGCGATGTGCCTTCTTTGTCGGGAATGTTAGTCCTGGAAGTAAGGCACAGTCCATTGTCACCTGGTGCGCTGATAGGGGCGTTGATGTATACGCATGCACAATTGCCGAAACCCAATACTTTGGTACCTGCTATGCACGCGTTTCTGTCGCGGAAGAGTTTGAGCAAACGCTGCTTGACAAGGAATTCTGGCCCGACACCATTGCGCACACCGTCCGAAAATGGCGCTATGCCGACTCCGCTAGCAAGTGATGGGTCCTCGGTCACCTAGCCAACAGCTAAATCCTCTTGCCCAACCCTTTGTGCCCCACGCAAGTTCATCACACCCTTCCCCTCATTGCGTTACATATTCTTCTATATCTAGTGGTCATATTCCACTTGCACCACCATTCCTTCCTGATTCTGGACGACAAACTACTAAAACTCCTAATCAACAGCAGCTCCACGACGCCCCCTACCACAAACTAATGTCGGTCTTCACCCCGTTGAGCGCTCATGCTTTCCCGTTTTCCCGGACCACGCACATTCTATTAACATTGTAACTATCAACTGTCGCTCTGTAACAAACAAACTTCCGGAATTGTACGCAATATGTCATGCCAACAAGCCCACCATATTATGTTTAACAGAAACCTGGCTAAGCCCGTCACTTTTATTCAGTGTTCCAGGCTACACATGCTTCCGTAAAGATAGATCTACACATAAGAACCTGAGATCAAACCTACGTGGCTATGGTGGCGTGGCCATTCTCATACGTGATGGGACATTCCCACATTGCACCCGTCGCCATGACCTTGATTCTCCCCAAAGCGAGGCCTTATGGCTTGAGCTTGGTGCACCGGCAGGTCTCCGGGCCAATCCGCTACTCATTTGCTGTCATTACCCCCCCCCCTTCACAATCCCTTCTTGATATCACCTCCTTTTGCGACATACTTACCGACACGCTGTGTTCCTTGGACCTCTCTTTATTTGATGTTTTTCTTACCGGTGACTACAATGCCCACAATTCTGACTGGTGGAGTGGTGACACCACATCGCGTGCTGGTACGGAGCTATCACACGTGTTCTCTAGCTTTGGCCTCCAGCAGCTTGTCAATTTCCCCACCCGTGTCGCTCCGAATGGAAAACTGTCCTGTCTGGACTTGCTTGCTACGAACCGCCCCCTCTCTGTACGGTCTGTTGACGATGCTGCCCCGCTTGGTGCATCGGATCATTTGCAAGTCATTACAACGCTAGCCTACAACATTGCCACTGCTAACACCTCTTACAACTGCTCTCAGACTCCTACCCCTCCGCGACATGCCTTCCGCAAGGTTACACCCTCCACTTGGTCAATCATCAACTCTGCACTTTTTGCCTGTGACTGGCATCTTTTATTCACCTCCACTACTGTTGATGAAGCTGTGGAGAAGTTCACCACAGTTCTTGATGACGTGCTCTCCTTCTATGTGCCACAATACGGAGCAAGACCCGCTACACCCAAACATGGCAGCCACCACCCTCGTCAGTCCAGCCGTAACCCCAAGATCCCTTGGCTGGACAAAGATCTCCAAGGTGCAATTAAACTCAAATATGACTACTATAGCTTAAGTAAGAAGTACTCCACCTATGCTAATATTTCTTTATACAAAAAACAGCGCAATCTGGTGAAGTCATTGTCACGTTCTAAGTATCGAGCATATTTACGTTCGCTCACTACCACCCTATCTCACCCCTCTTCCAGGCCTAACCTGTATACCTTTGTTCGCACTCAAAGGACAACTAGTACACGTCAAGACATACCACCGTTATTAGCTTCCAATGGTTCGATGGTGACTGACCCCAAGTCTATAGCTAATACTCTCAATACGCAATTCACATCAGCTGGTATTCCAGACGACCATTCCTCTCCAATACCACCTCTGCAACGTTCTGCGACTGTGTCTTCTGATCTGCGCTCTATACATACCACCACATCATCTGTTCGCAGCTACCTAAAAAGACTAAAAAGCAACAAAAGCCCTGGTCCTGATGCCCTACCAAATGAAGTTCTCAAAGTTCTGGCTCCATCTCTGGCGTACCCACTGTGCCTTATATTCAACCTTTCCTACTCCTCCGGCGTATTTCCTGATCGTTGGAAGATCGCTAAGGTCACGCCCATCTACAAGTGTAAAGGCTCCCGATCACAAGCCTCAAACTATCGTCCAATATCTCTTCTCTGCTCCCTTTCAAAAGTATGTGAAAAGGTATTTTACGACCAGTTGTATTGCCACATTTCACCATGCCTTAGCCCTTCCCAATCTGGCTTTCGGCGCAACGACTCAACCTCTGACCAACTAGCTCGTCTAGTACAAGACATTGCCACCCTTCGTGATGCTCGACACCATATTGCTCTCTGTTTCTTTGACTTGGCAAAGGCCTTTGATACTGTCTGGCATCGAGGCCTCCTTGCCAAGCTACATATTGTCTTTGGTGTGTCTGCCCCGGCTCTGTCCTGGCTGGAGTCCTATCTGAGTAGCCGATCACAGTTTGTTTCTGCCCTCTCCATCAACTCTGATCCTCTACCAGTGTCTTCTGGAGTTCCCCAAGGCTCCATACTTGGACCTCTTTTGTTCGTAGCATACGTAAATGATTTACCCTCTATAGACCCAGGTGTCTCGTTATTTGCTGATGATACAACCCTACTGTCAGCATCCTCGTCCTCAGCGGCTCTTGTACCTCGAGTGTCGGCTCAGACATGCAGTGTCCTACGCTGGATGCAAACATGGCGACTTAGACCCAACCTGACTAAAACCGAAATAATGTTCCTTCCCCCAATCTCATCCATGTCACTTTTACACCATCCTGATTTCCCAGAACCCATAAAGGTTGTTTCCAACCATAAACACCTGGGAATAATGCTTGATGATCGTCTCTCTTGGTCTTTCCATATTGATGCTCTTTGCAGCCGTTCAAGCTCTGCCCTAGGTGTTATACGTCCCCATTGTTTCCATCTTCCTTTCAAATGTAAAATCTTGTTTTACAAACTGTACATCCTGCCTCTTTTCATGTACGCTGCTGTTAGCTGGTGTGGCTTGTCCTCGGTTCTCGCTGAGCATCTCGAAATCCACCATAGAAAACTTCTTCGTATCCTGTTTAGTCTACCCCCTCTCTACTCTTCTGCTTCCCTGTATGTCCTTGCAAATGCTTGCCCACTGTCGACCCACCGTCAAAAATTAATTTGCACTTTTGCTCACAAATTTAAACTAGCTCTACATCCTCCTCATCTTAACGTGTATAACTGGTTCCGAATCACAGATGGCTCCCAGACAAGATGCTCTGTTGCCCTCCCCTTGGCTAAAACGTCCTCCCTTGTACGCTCTCCACTCTTTGTTGCTTACTCTGCTTGGCTTGCGCTGCCCGCTACTACGCGCAATGCCAGTACCCTGGACGCATTTAAATCTGCTCACTAGATTCACCATCACCTGTCCCTCCCATGCTTCTCCGTCTTGACCATTACTTTTCTTCTTTTATTCACCATGGTTGGTTAACACCCACATCTCCCGTACTGGCTGATTTTCTTCTCATGCCATGAGGTGTTGTCTATAATAATAATAATAATAATAATAATTCTTATCGATCCCACAAGATACAGGTATCCCCGTTTCCTTGGTGCACCTGCGCGTCATCGGTCATTCGAACGCACCAGCAAACCAGCATGAATGGCATGCATGATGAAGACAGCTGCTAGCTGAGCTTTGCGTGTGGGTGCGCGATGCTGCATACCGCGCCGTGCGTGCATGCATAGCATGGCACCGGTGGCGGTGCACCGCCGACCCCATGCCCAGTGCACTAGTGCTAGTAGATCTACTGTGATCTAAAAAAAACTAGTAAACAATGGTAAAACATGGTAAAAGGCGCCAGGCTAGGCTAGACTTGCTGAGTTGAATCCTACTCACGTAACAGTGTCAGTACTGACAGTAGACCATGGTCCTGGACATATACATGGTGTGTGCCGACTAGTCGACTGCGGACGATCTATCGATCTGGCCATGCATGATGACAGATCACCAAGATGATGCCGGTAAGCTATAGAGAGGGAGGTGGGATCTGATTCTGAGGTCAGTCAGGCCGGATGCATGCAGCAAACTCACTGAAGTAATCTTCTCGAGATATCCCATTCATTCTTTCCTCTTCTTTCTGTAAACGTCAGTTCCTGAAGATCAAGGACTTAGCTAGGTTAGCAGACAAGCGGCGGCCACCACTCCCCGACAACACCTAGTAACAAACATCAGATGTTGTTACAGCAGATTCAGCAGTAGCATTGTGTGGGAATTGAACTGGAAAAGTAGAGCGGGGTAGTCTAGACTGAACATCAATATTATTTTCATGACATCCGGCGACTTTGTTTTCTAGTGGGTCTGAACGAACCGAGGTGGCGAATACGACTGTTGCAAAGCAGTATCTGTCGACAAGTATGTTGCTCAGCAAGAATCTTCTGGGTCAGAATGGCTCGAGAGACCCTGCAGAGAGGTGAAGGGAACCGGCGCTTTCCGACCACTGAATCCTAGTACTAGTAGTGCGCTGCGCACTGTAATTTAGAAGCGACAGCGGCGGGGAAGACACTGAACTCCGTCATGGAGGAAGAAGCGGAGGTCGCCTGTGACAACGACGATCGAATGCGTCTCGCCCTGCACCAGCTGGTGATGATGGCGCAGCGACATTTCGACGCGGTGCCCACCGAGCAACCTCTACCTCCGGCGGAAACCGTCGTCAGCGATTTGGAAGCTACAGATCTAAATTTCCATAGGTATGAGTACAATGATCAATCATGTACAATCATGTACATGTACAAGCTATGGGGTAGTTTCTTTCTTAGTAACTTAGGGGTTGTCCGCAAGTGCCGGTAACGTTTGAAATTAGCAGTGAGTTTAAAATTCTCGACACACTCTGCAAACGATTGACGTCAGCATACATGTGTGTTCGTTAGAGGGAGACCTGGAGGCGTAGATCTGCGAGGAGAAATTACGAAAAAAAGTGCTCACTTGTCGAGGGAATGGAAAAGGGGAAAAAAGGGTCTGGAATAACGGACAGGCAGTACATCCCTTTCTATCGATGTTTTCTTACCAGAAGATGCACCCAGTGTGCTGACAGTGCTCAGAGGCAGAGTGGAATACACAGAACAACAAGGGCAATCAAGGCTTGTTTGTTGCTACTCAGAGTTTCATGCTGTCGCAATCATCAGGCAACACAAGAGTTCTTATAAAATAGGAACTAATTTCTGGGTGGGGTCCCGGGGGGGGGGGGGGGGGGGGGGGGAGAACTTGATTTTGGAAATCTGAACAGCTGCAAGCGTGATGCAGAACAACAGGCGCTACATACTCTTCGACAATAGCACACTGTCACCATTACTGTGTACACACTGTGTAACGACAACGTGGATGGCTTTTGCTGGTAGAGGGTTCAAGGCGCAAACCGCTTAGCCACCATGCATCCGAAGAAAGGCCCACTAGAATCTAGTTGCTACCGTGAAAGTAAGTATCAGCAACAGGGAACTTGCGTGACAGTTGCACAAAGTCAAAACTAGCAGTTGAAACTAGACCGCTAAATGAACTTTTTCTTCAGAGGTTTTACGCTCACAGTTACAGGTGCAGCAGGTGTCTGCTTAGGAGTTTTTTTGGCTTTTGTCGGCTTCGAAGTTTGTGAATTGCCAACATTTGCTTGTTGCCATTGGGACTGAATTTGTGAGGGGCAACTCAATTCCGATGTGTTATGACCCACCTCTCAGAAGTGAAATTCCTCAACTTGCTGAGATAATTACTAGTATGTTATGTGGCGCTTCCCTTGATGATATCACCACAGTTACTGAGTTAGAATAAGACTGATTTATAGGTGGAAAACTGGTGGTATTTCTATGAGTTGTTTTCTGCTGCCCCCCCCCCCTCCTGTATCTGCCCAAACTCCTGTGTGATCTACAGTTATGAGGTGGTGCGTGAGCTGTCGCATCGTGTTGAGAGCAATGTCGGCACTCTCCTCGACAACTTGGTTAGCAGAATACCCAGTGACGGCGGAGGTGCAGACACGCTGCTGCCGGAGATCGTTGATCAGATCAAAGGCACGGATGAGTAAGTCCTAGACTGGCAGAAGAGATCACATCACGATTTCAAGCACAGGTATTCTCTCACGTCTTGCTGGAAGAATTCACTGCTGGTTCTGCCATAGCGCAGTGAGATGCTTGTGGTGACTTTGTCAAAGTTAAAACGTGGATCCTAGAGAATGATTCTTGTAGAGCTTGTTCAACACGCATAGAACTGTGACTCGTGGTAAATGACTCGGGTCTTGTGGCAAAACTGCACTGATGCCAAATATTATGGATTTTCATGAAGTGCTAACCATGAGATGTTATGCTATGTTGGCATGCCCCGTGTTGCTTTTGTAGGTTTGCAGCTCTGATCGATGGTATAAAGACGGATCTCCAGATGGCGTCCGCATCGGTTGTGAGTAAATCCTGCAAATGCCGTCGTTGCGCATTCAGAGTGGCGGCGTACTTTTACTGATTTGTACATTGAAATGCAATAGAGATTCAGTTGTCTCCTAAAATATGATAGTGACGCTTTGGTAATATTGCCATTTTCAGTGGCACATCAGGGCCTTCTAGTTGCAGAGATGACTTATAATTTGTTCTGTTGAGCTCTGCAGGCATTGTAATGTGATTAGTAGCACTCTTTTGCATCCATTTGACTAAACGAAGGCTCTGTTATGAGGACATACCAGTGCTGGCATCAGGTGGTTGACTGATTGGATGCTCCACCCCCTGACGGAAGCACTGTAGCATGCCCTATGGCAGATTTTCCAAGGTAGGGTACTGAATTCCTGGGCTGCGATTGTTTCCAACCCTGCCTATTACCTTGCAACTGTAGTATGTCAATGTTACATTGCATGAAAGTAGTAGTTGATGTCAAAATTCGCAGAATGCTTGTTCTGTGTGGTTTCATGCTTGTAGATAGATGACATTGAAGAAGGCAGAGAAGAGGATAATGTAAAGAGTCCCAGGCATGACTCATCCACCTCAAAGACTTCCGGCGGCAGCCTGGCATTGTCAGCTGCGAGCGGAATGTCCGGCTCACAGTCGAGCTTGGTAAGGTGCATTATTTGGAGTGTGTGCGTGTGTGTGTGTGTGTGTGTGTGTGTGTGTGTGTGTGTGTGTGTGTGTTCTGTTCGACCGGATATTGATTCTATCGATCATGTTTCATATCACTGTTGGCTGGCTGATATTTGTTCGTGTACGATATTTTGATGCTGTCTTCCCTTCTTAGAGCGAGCAGGACTTGGATTTTTCTGGCGAGAAAGAGCTGGGTGCAGTGCTCCAGAAGCTGGGTGACAGCGGTGATCCTCAGGTATGTTGTATAGGTCTTGGGTTATGCATTAAATTTGGTGAATCCTCCGGAGAGCTGCCTTGATGTGGGGTCTCTATATCTGCTCACTTGCACGACTGCAAGTTGTGTGTTTTGCCGCTTTTTATCCACAGACAGAAATTCATTGACATGGAGTGTGTTTTTTTGCACAGGATATCTGTAATCTGTTGCTCTCTGTTGTGATCTTGTACACAGGGTCAATTAGAAGCTGCAAACATTCTGTTCTGGCTCAGCCCTTCCGAACTGTACGGCCATTCTCTGTGGAATGAGGTGATCACAGGCATAATGCAACAGAGAAGATGTGATCACGTCTTAGTACGGGTAAGGCCGAAAAACCTCTTCTTTCACAGAGAAACCTGAAAATTCTGGGCACCCATCTCATCTCCGGATCCCGCACACACACACACACGCGCACACACACACACACACACACACACACACATACACACACAAACACACACACACACACACACACACACACACACACACACACACACACACACACACACAGGGCAGAGGAGGTAGTTTGTATGTCAATGTGCTCGAATCATATATTGGCATGGTTAGTGGTTGGCATGAGGGAGTCGTCATATCTAGGGAAACAACATGACACCATAGCACATGTACGTGAAACGATGTGTGTTTCCACTCCGGATTTGGACATTCTACACGATCTGTAGTCGATGCAAAAGTGCAACTCGCGATCACGACCTTGACCTGCCGACCCCAAATGCAGCCCAGGCCAGCTGTACTACCTGCGAGCGTGCATACAAAACTGGCCCGACAGGCAACTAGAACGGGCTGCCAGTGAGCAAAGCTGAAGCATCTTTTCATATTTCACGGCTGGCATGGAGAGAGTAAGAGTATAGCGTTCCGTAATGATTGGTTGCTTTCTTCCTGCAGACATCTTGCCTTCAGGTGCTAGCAAAGCTGTACAGGTCTGCATCGGGTCAAGACGTTTGCACCATATTCCAAGCTTTAGGTAAGATAGATCAAACACAGTGAGGAGTCTTGAGAGAACCGGATTGAGGGGTGCTGACTTGGATGTGGGGTGCTGACTTAGATGTGGGGCGCTGACTTGGATGTGGGGTGTTGGCCTGGATGTGGGCTGCTGACCTAGATGTGGGGTGCTGACCTGGATGTGGGGTGCTGTTCAATCGTTCTCAAAGCCGGCATAGCTTATTACTTACACTCTGCTATGCTTCCAGCCTTGTCATTGATGTTGGAAATTACCTTGAACTATTATCTGTTCCTTTCATCTACTTTGATTGAAAAACGTTCTTCGTTGTGTTGTCTTGCAGTAAAACACATAGAAGTGCATGCGAGGAATGCGAGTCCAATGGTTTTTGCAGATCTACTGCAGGAAGTAAGTAATCAGTGTTTTTGGCTGTTGTTGTCATCACGCAGTCGTCATCATAGTCATTGTCGTTGTTGTCACTGCTGCTGCTGCTGCTGCCGCCGCTACCGCTGCTGTTGTCAACCTAAGCAGTGGTGCCGTCATTGTCGCCATCGTTGTTGTCGCTGTGGTTGCTGTCGTCCTTGTTGCTTTGGTTGCTGCAGCTGCCGTCCTTGTTGCTGTGGTTGCTGCTGCTTCAGCTTCTGGTAGCATGATTGTGTTGGTGCTAAATTCTTGACAGAACCATCTGTGTCTGGCCCGCAGTGTGGTGCGAGAGTATGGCGAAGTGTCAAGTTTCAAGTGTCAGACAGTCCTGTTGTGTTCTTGACTATGGACAGGGTTCTGAACTGAAGTTGGAGAGGCTATTAAGTATATCCACTCTAATTATGTATCTTACCAATGCCAATGTGTCAGTGTTCACATGTCAAAATGTAACACCGTTTGCAACATTTACATGGTCAGTGCTCTCAACATCAGCATCAATAAAATTGGCACTAATGTCTTTACGTATTTTGACCAATACTTTTGAAGTAATTTTAAATGGCATGCGATGCTTGGATGCATTGATTCACTGCGGTGTAGGTGCGGCTCTTCAGTCAGGTGCTGTGCGATGTCACCAATATCTGGATGCGCTATCAATCAGAGTAAGAACATTGACACAGACACAAACTGCTCCTAATTATGTTTTGTGAGAATACTGTACACACGGTGGCTAGGCTAGGTGGGTAGGTGCGGTGGGTTGGATACAGCGGTGATCAAGAAGCATGGGGTACCCGATTCCAGTCCTGTTTTGAAACATACAGGGTTTCTCAGTCTAGTTGGAGCCCGAGTCTTTGCACAAGCCGGGGGGGGGGGGGGACTCTACATGGGTGCTGGGACACATGTCGCTGCAGTGTTATCTATTATAGGGATGGTACTAGCTCACGACATGCTTAGTGTGAGTTGCTCAAATACCCGTACCAGATTTCCTGAAATGGTATACATGCTCAAGGAGAGCGCGGTGGTTGAACAAGACCGATCCTTAGAGGCAGTTTGACCAAATAAAGTACATCATACTTTGAATTACTTCAATAGTAGAGGGGAATTTTGTACCATTAGTGGTACTAATACTGGTATAATAATCAAGTACTTCGTAAGCTTGCTACTGTATGGCCATTTTTCAAAATAATTTGGTTGAAACCATAGAAGATCGTGCTCAAAGCGAGGAGACCGTGCCCGAATTTCTACAACACTGGGTAGGGTCTGGTTGATAATACAGTCCGGGTAAGTACTTTTGATCTGCCCCCCCCCCCCTCCCTGAGTTACCACTCCCGGTCAATTTTCTGTCTGTGAACCAACTTTGGCGTATGCGTCACAATACGATGAACGTGACCATAATAATGCTGATTTACCTTTCTTGCAGTTGGGTGTCCGGCATGATTTCTGCCACAGTCAAGACTCTTTGTACACCGATTGGCAACGGCAAAGTCACAATGGAATCTGTTGATGGCAGCGGCCCAGTGCTGGTCTTGCATCTCGTGGCACTGTTCGACATGAAGGCTGAGTGGTTCACCGGTTGGACGGTAAGTTTGGAATTTCTAGCAGGTGCTGTTACATGTACGCAGGCATGTGCGCGTATGGGTGTTTGTGCGCATCCTCTTCTGTCTGCTTCTATTAACTAACAAGCAGCATGTTGGCTTATGTATTATACTGGTTACCCTGGCAACCGTTGGGTGTGCATCGTTAACTGTCTTGACCATTACATCCTGCTGTACAGTGTGTGATGTAGACCAGGTGTGTAGAGCGGGTTGATTCACAGTTATATGGATTCTAGTGTTACCTGGTGTAAGTCTTGATCTGTTCATTTCAAGAATTGCCTGCTAAAGTTACCATTGCGTTTGCACAAGATGAAATAAGCAGGTAAATTGGCAGTGCCCTTGTAAGTTGCATGCTTCTCTAGTGACAGGCGTAGATAGTGGTGGTGGTGGTGGAGGCGGCGGTGCTGGTGCGGGTCTTGCCAGTGGTGTTGGAAATGGCGGCGGCAAAGCTGGTGGCAGTGATGGTGGTTTTGGCGGTAGTGCTATTGGTGTTGGTAGTGCAATTGGTGTTGGCAGTGCTATTGGTGTTGGTAGTCACGGGTGGCGGTGGCAGTGCTGGTGGTGGCCGTAATGTGTGTTACTTTATAATTCTTGAATGGGTTCATGAACCTGGACCTTTTTTTTGCTTTTGAGGTTCTGGTTGAAATTCTTATCATGAGAGAGCTAAGGCTGTGGGATTTTAATTGATTGAAGGTGACTGAAGCTGAAGAGATGCGCTGCTGAAGGAGGCAGTGCAAATGGACTCAGCCTCCTTATGTCAATCCACTGTACCGGTTGGCTGATAATATCATATCAGCACTTCTTCCATCCTTTTCTCAAATCTATTTCTAAACTTGGTCATAGCATGATGTAATTGTGTGTTCTTGATCTTCTCAACAGCACGCATGGAGAAGTCGGAAAATACTTCTGGAATGCATCGCAGAAAATGCTCTGGTAAGGGCAAATATTCAAGCAGGTTACCTAGATATGCATGTAGCAGCACCATTTGGCCTTGACTGGCACTGGCATTTCACATGTTGTGGTTATACCGGTGCACCAAGTAACTGTTCATTTGGTGGTTTCAGCTCTGTTCTCCATTTTCTGTTACATGCATTGTATACTTCTTGTGTGAAGTGTAATTATTGTGCTTTTGAGAAGAGAATACTCTGACAACACAGTACTTTACACGTAGAAATTGGCTTCTAATCCCATTGTTTGCACCATATGCTTAGATCTGTAAGTACATCACACTGGTGTCCTACTCAGGCTTGGTTGCGGACACTTGAAGTAGTAGTAGTACTTGAAGTAGTAGTTCTTATTGATGTGTGTTCGTATCATGCAATACACAGTCATGCATTTTCCTCTACTCTCCAGTAGACTAGCTCAGTTCTGGTGTGTTCTGTTGCTACGTGCTGTATTTGACCTGTTCCTCCATGTGAAGGTTGCCAGGTGCCTGTCAATGTGCGTCAACTGGAGCAGGATGTTTCAGGATGACAGCTGTTACGACGAAAGCACTCAGGAACCGCAGCGAGCGTTTGTCCAGCTCTTGGAAAGTGAGTCATCACAAGTAGCACTCGGCTAGTTGTGTGTTCAAGGCTGGTGCATTGCCCGTGTGTGTGTGTATGTGGGGGGGGGGGGGGGGACATAGGATACAGTTAGCTTATTTTGTTGACAGGAGAGCTTGTGTCCTGGACCCTCACTATACCTGCGAGCCCGTGATCATGTGACCTGCATACACAGACACAGACACACACACACAGACGCACACACACGTACACATGCAAACACATATACACACATACACCCCCCTACACACACACACACACGCACACGCATACACACACACGCATACACATACACATTAAAGGGCATGTGACTCTGGCTATGCAAGACGTACTACGTCACACGCATTTGGAACAGCTTCGGGAGTTGATGCCAAAGTATTTATACGGCACTGTTCTTCGAGATTATGCAGAACGCGTGCGTTCCTCTTTGCTATGTTGCCTCTTTCTTGAATTAGACTGTGCAGAACTTCAACTGACACCAGTGAGCTTGTCCTACTGCGGCTTCTTCCACTGCCTTCACATTCTCTCACACCTCCTGGTCTACACACGTGGGCGCAACATCTTCCCACTGAAACTGACTTACCTGAAGGATAGTACGTACAGAGCCATTCGGAAGGGCGTTGGTATAGCCATGTGGCATTCGCTGTTTGCATTCCTCTGCTTGCTGAGGACGTATGGAATCTTATGATTGCAATTTAACTTGTTCAATATGGATGATGTGCCCTGAATGCAGGAAAGAGTATAGAGTTTTACCCGGAATGGTCTTGCGCAGTGCATGACCAAACATCTAGATATCTGTTTGCAAGCCGCTCTTGTCTTTGTTTTTGTTTTTTTTTGCTCCAGAACATATCAGCTTCTCCACGGAGGATTGCTTGCTGCATCTGGTAGCTCTGATGTACACCCTGCCATTCACAAAGGTCAACGCGACATGTGGTAAGACGAAGAGGCGTCCTCCATTTGGCACATGTAGTTTGATGCAGGATACTCACACGGGCATTATCATTCCTTCACGTAGCCACACTACGGAGCAGGTTATACAATTACATCATCAGTAGAGATACTTTGGCAAAGTTGCAGGATACAGCAATGCACAAGCCACACGTGTGGTATACATAGTGCCCACGAGCGATCCCCCCCCCCCCCCCCTACCTCGCCACCATGACATAATTTGCACAACCTCTATTATGCCGGGGTGATCTCACCCATGGGGTACATGGGAGCTGTTGTTATTATTATTATTACAGTGAAACCGGTCTAAGACGACCGCTCAAGGGACCTTCAAAAACGTGGTCTCGGTAACCATCCGGTCTCCTTATCCAGGGTCATATCACTGGAAATAGCATCCCTTGGTCCTGGCTGCAGTGATCTTCTGGGACACGTGGTCGCCTTATCCGAGTGGTAGCATTGACAGGTTTATCTGTATATTATTAAGCCAGCACATCCTCCTAACTGTACCGGCGAAGGCATGATCCTATCTACTGGCACTTTCGCACCTACTGCCTACTGTCACTGATTGATTCTTGCACTGACTTCAAGACAGATATGGTAACCGGCACGTATGTCCTTATCACGGAAAATGTGTGACAATAGCACCGCCGACTATCATACCCTTTAAAAGTATTCCTCAGTCTGTGATCCGTAAACATTTGGTCTGGTTTGCACAGCTGGCAGCATCGTTGAGTGCGTCGGTAGGGTGCTGATCCAGCTGGCTAGCGGTGGAGAAAGTGGCTGCTCTCTGCTGTGCACGGGCCGTGTGCTTAGTGCCATGGTTACTCCGCTCAGCCTCTATGTCAGCAGCAAGCAGGCAAGTACATGCAAACATGCATTCGTGTCATCTTATCTACCAGTACATATAAATCCAGAGAAGGCCTCGGAAAAGGGTAGCCCTGAAAGCCCAAAGGCAATTGAGATGGACTTTTTGCAAGACAACGCCCCTCTCTATCGGACACAGTTTCTGACATATTATGTACAAATATTGTCAAGCTTTACCTTGCATTTCGAGTACATTATGTTAGGCGTCAACTTCATTGCCTCCCTTTTGTATAGCAGCCTTCTCCTCTAGCATGGCTGTCCCTCACAAGAATTATAGCTTCTCCTCCATCATGGCTGTCCATCACAAGAGGTTTAGCTTCAGTCAGTCACAGTGTTTGTCCAGTCGGCAATTTTCTGCACCCGCAGGTAAATTTGACGGCGGAACTCTGACCGTTTCTTTGACACTTCAGTTTGTTGGCGAGGAAGCATGTACGAAGCATGTAATGTAATCCTTGCCTTTGTTCTGACCCTGTAGGGCTCCAACAGCTCTTTGAACAGTGCCTTGCTATTCACTGCCGACGTGCTGGCCCTGCTAGCCTGCAGACAAGTTGGGCGCAATGCTCTCCTTTGTGCCAAGCTTGTCCACAACGACAACACGAAGGTACCCAGGTGAGTGGCTTCGTGGATTGAACATTGCAGCTCCATGTGGTGCCTTGTACTCTCTCTCTCTCTCTCTCTCTCTCTCTCTCTCTCTCTCTCTCTCTCTCTCTCTCTCTCTCTCTCTCTCTCTCTCTCTCTCTCTCTCTCTCTCTCTCTCTCTTCTTTCTCACACACACACACACACACACACACACACACACACACACACACACACACACACACACACACACACACACACACACACACCACACCACACATACATACACACACACACACACACACACACACACACACACACACACACACACACACACATATATACACACACATACCGTAGTTCCGCACATATAAGCCCATGGGCTAATATACGAAATAATGCATTTTCCCGGAAAAAAATCAGTAATAATGGTTCGTTTTTTAGCCCTGGGCCTATATTCGAATTTTGAAGGCAACTGGCACGCGAAAAAGTACAAGTCCGTGCGCGGTTGTCCGCCTACTGTAGGTACCGGTACCGGTACTGGTAATGTAGTCTGCACTGACATGCTGTACTATCGGTCCCGTAACGGTGTTTGGGTCTGTTTATTAGCCCATGGGCCTATAAACAGAGGTGGGCTTATATCCGGATATAGGCCCGTGGGCTTATTTTCGCGGAACTGCGGTACACACACACACACACCACACCACACACACACACACACACACACACACACACACACACACACCGCACCACACATACACACACACACACACACACACACACACACACACACACACAGATTTATGGGTTGTAGAACATTTGCCACACAGTTCTGATCATGTGCTTGTGCACTGCATGTCCACTCCAACCTGAAGTGGTGTCTTTTCTCATTGTTGGGCATATGAAAGTGGTTATCTGCATTCTGGACATGAATGTGGCTTGCTTTTAATCCCTGATGCCATTGGCTGGCTACACAGTTGAGGTGATCCTACATTCGATGGTGTCAGTTTAACATCCTGTACAATGTGCTGTACGACTACTGTGTATTTCAGTGTAGGCTGGATGCTAGGGAATTTTGCATCCGATGCCATGAAGGCCTTGCTAAACGAGGATGGGCGCAAGACTGCCAAGGGTGCCATGGCTGCCGGTCACAGCAAGTCTAATTTCCCTCGCTACGTTGTTTCGGCATTCCTGTTCGTATGTCGGCAATTGTACAACACGTGCCGTGGCCTTCGAGAGCTGGAGAGCTTCCAGCTCAACCTACTGATGGGAAAGGCCTTTGCCAAGGTTGGTACTGCGATCCACTGCACTCAATAATAACACACTCTGATCAATGACACTCCATTACGTTCATCAGGATGTATATGAAGTAACTTAATATAGAACTAGCATATTATTCAGGTACAGCTGGTCCAAGCCAGCCAATTGTTGCAAATCACAAAAGTCTGTTTGTGCTCCCAGGTCATGAGCTATCAGGCTATCAGCATTGTAACTGCGTAGCTAAGATATTGTTGACGGGCAGACAGAGA